ACATTTTCTAAAAATGATACTTTACATTTAGTATATCTAAAAAGACAATATTGTTTTGTTAATATTACGTTTTTATTTTTGATTTTCCATTTTTTATAACAGTTAACATTTTTAAGTAATTTGTAAAATGTTAATATTTATTTTGTTAGCTAAGTTATATATGGAATATTAATTTCGTTTTTAATATAATTTGGAAACAGTGACATTTTATAAAAATAATAAACTAATATAATGATGTGTCATTATACGATTGGAGGACTTAAATCCTACGTGGACGTCCTCAATGGCTTATAGCCTCAACTTTTATATAGTATAGATTACAAGTGATGTCAACAACTAACCATGACATGTTATTATTATATTAACTCCCAACAAAATGATAGGACAAAGCCAACATTGGACATAGCCGACATAATACATCACAAACATCAGAGGCAGTAAGTATCTTATTTAACCACAAAACTGTGGTGAACGAGTTTTTGACATTAGGTGATCGGGGTCACATACATAGACAGTTGTAACCTTTAGAACCAGAAATTATAAAAGACAATATAGTGTCGTTAACTTGTTATGGTGGAGAGTATTAGAACTAAGCTTGATCTTCTACGAGCAGCTGCTTTGGAGTTTCGGGATCATGGGATGAGCTCAAAGGGAATGAAGATAGCTCTAGGTAGTCAAAGTCTTCCGTGATTCCCGCCTGAATATATTACTCATCTGATTTTAGTCTTCTCTTTGATGTAAGGAAAATGTGAAATCTGGAATTGATAATAAGATCTGGAAAATACCTCCGTGTATAGATGTTCCAGCTGTTCCTTGGCCTGGGGGAAGTTGTTTGAGCACCATTGTCGCAATGTGAAGATGTTATCTGAGTAAGTTTGAAACGAAATTACAAATTGTGAACATTTTAAACAGAAAAAGCATTTCCAAGTTTTCGAAATGAAAAAAAATACCTGTCCATCTGTTAGCCGACTGGTGAGCAACTTCAATTGCAGCCCCTATCAAGATTAGAAGAGAAAAACACATTCATACAGCACAAGGGTTGTTCTTATATAACAGAAACCAAAATGTAAGACTTTATGCAGAACTTACGCATTGCCTCCAAGGTAGCTGGATCGTTATCAGCAAACTGTACCATCTCATTCTGCATAGCAAGAAGAGGAAAGTGTTAGCCGCTTGCTAAAAACATGTGAATACCTCTATGCAAATCTGACCTTGAGCTCTTTATGTTTCTTCTCAATATCTTTAAGTTGCGCCAATGCCTCTGTTCGTTCCTCCTACAGACAGAATTGCAATTCAGGTGAAAAGATCATTCAAACATTTAAATAATTCTGCAACACATGAAATACTTACGGATTCCTCCCTTCCCTTCTTTAAGGCCTCACACTGATCAACAAGCTCTGCTAGCCTTTTATCACTACCCTGAAGATCAGTTTCAAGTTTCTGACGTACACTCCTAAGCTGTAGATTCAGAACAGTTCGAAGCATAAGATGAGAAATTAAGATGAATCTTTACTATAGTATTGAAAAGAGTTGGTCCTCCTCACCTGATTGCCGGCACAACTGGGAAGGCTCCAAAAGTAAACCTTCATTTACAAATTAACAAACACTGTTAAAACGATATTAAAAAAAAGGCAAATAAAGAAAACTAAGATTACTCACAGAGATACCAATCTTGTCCTTGGCAACAAGATCATCATCAACAAGACTCTGGATGACATCTTTCACAGACTGGCTAATCACACCTTTCTTAGGCCCCATCTTCTCAAGCTCCTTCAGCTGAAAACAAACATTTTAGACGATTCCATAAGCTACGTTACTAACTCTAATATAGATCTGAAAATTAAAACAAAAGCTTACAAGGAAGAAGTCTTGCGAGTCGTAAAAGATCTGAAGCATCTTCTCTCGCTTCTCCTCCAACGAAAGTCCCCGTTTCTTTGACTGATTATGAGTAATTATCAAACAACAACACGAGAATCAGTTGAAAACGAACGAAAAGACGGTTCAACACAGTGAATCTACAGGTGCACACCAAGTGTTTGCTTAAATTCCTCAGAGAAAATATGGAATCAAATCGTGATAATCGAGTCAGACTAGGACGAGATTCAAATCAGATTTCGTCAGGAGTTACTGGAAATCAAAATCGGGATTCAAACAAATTATAGATCGAATCCGAGAGAACACACAAGCTAAGCTAAGTGCAGAGTGAAATACGGTTCACAGATTCGCGGAGAATCACTACGTCTTCTCACGAATCACAGCAAAAGAAAACTCTCGCGGCGAATCCGAAAGAAGCGCAAGCTAAGCTTAGTTAACGGTTACGTATGGTTCACAGATTCGAATCACTTGATCATCTCACGAATCAACAGAGATTGTTAGTTATATTAGTTTGCGAGAATGATAATCAGATTTAGAATCGAACGATTTTTTTACCATGACGATCGGTTGTTCGTGTGAATTGAAATCGATCTCGACTCTGCTTACACCTTTCTCTCTTCTCTCTGGAAAAGGAAGTTAGGGAATGAAAATTGTTGAAGAAGACTCCAGTACTTTGAGCGGGCTTTTTCCCTCGCCTTCTATCAATAATAAATAGATATTACTACGAATTAAATTTTTGAAATTTGAAACAAAAATAAAAGAAATATAATAATTTGTGTTTATGACAAATGAACTTTCGAATTAAAGCAAAAAAAAAATATCAAATTCATTTTGAACCAAATTTTTTTTCAATTTTTAAATATTGGTCATTTAAACTCTTATGTTTTGTTGATTTCGCCATTTAAAATTCTAAATAGTCAATTGTGAAACTTGATTACAAAAACAAATATATGTTAATTCTGTAAACGATGTTGTTTTAAAAATGGATTAAACATGAATCGTCGTTTCGCTTTTGTAAACATTTAAATATCTTATTCGTGAGACCAGAATTCCAAATCATTTCGAGTCAGGAATATGAAGTAAATTTTGGATTCTAATTTCATGAAAACAAATTATTTAAAAAACTAAAACAGCGTTGTTTGATTAATTTTTTAATATATTTATTTTTATAATCACATTAAGTGTTGATTATTTAAATTCTTTAAATGGTGAAATTAATAAAATATAAGAGTTAAAATAACCAATATTTAAAAATTAAAGATTATTTTGGCTCATGAGTTAATTTGAAAGTTCAGGTTCTTAGTGGCTGTTTTTTTCTGTTTTTTTTTTTTTAATTTCACTAATTTCCAAACTACGTCGTTTAGGAAACCTCTCTTGTTGACTTTTTCTTCTCGTCTGGATGAAAGTAAGTCAACGCAATGCATAGTTGACCGACCATACATGCACGGCTACGTTCTTTATAACGCGAGAGTGTACATAGGACGAGTCAGTACCTAGACGTAGTAACCGATCAGATTACCATAAAAACAAATACAAAAGATTATTGTATATGTGAAGAAAGGTCAAATGTTGGATAAAATAACATGCATGAAGATGTTTATTATAAGTTCCGCTCAGGGTTTTTAAATTTTTTGACATTGAGAATGAGATCTTTATATAATATACATCGCCTGTTCTTGGTTTATCAATGCATACACGTCTGCTCTGGTTCGCGAATAACCTGCAAATTGTTTGCAAAAGTAATCAGTTATATAAATCCACAACCTTAAGATCTTCATCCATCTCAAGCATAACTTATTTGCTAATTGTATACTGCTTAAACTAAAAAAGTTAGAAGACTTCGAATTTTTTTTTTATGTTTTATACATTGAAAAATAAGAACTTTTCATTAACACATACAATGTTAGAAAACAAACGATTGATATGTTGTGTAAATAAATAAGAGAAGTGAATTGTGTTAACTCATTTGCTAATTGTATACAGCTTAAACTAAAAAAAAGTTAGAAGACTTGAATTTTTTTTTGTGTTTATACTTTGAAAAATAAGAACTTTTCATTCAACACAAACATTGTATGAAAACTAACGATTGATTTGTTTTGAGAAGAGAGTTGTGACCTTAGAGGGCCATCTCAGCCTGTAATGCAGCAAGTTCTTCTTCCTCTGCGGTCCGCTTTGGAATAGGACGTGCTGGTTGACGCCCTGCAGGCACCGGAACTGAAGGCAACGTTGTTGTCGGCTGAAGAAGCTGTTCTTCAAGCTCTGCACCTTCTAGTTCCTCAAGCTCTGCTTCAAGCTCATCCTATCAAATAGACAAAGTAGATATCATTGGACAAAGATCATTAGCTTTAAAATATATATATATGATCAACAAGAAAGTTACCTCATCGAAGTCAGCTGCTGCCCCGATTGGAGTAGACAACGCTTCTTGGATCTGTTTCATGTTCTCTGTCTGCTCGTTGATCTCATCCATAGTCTTGTCCACATCATCTATATTTCTGTTTAAAGAAACAGTGTGTTTTCGAGTTAAGGCACTATAAACATTACAAACAACGAGCACAAGCTCTTGTGAACAAACAAAAAGAAAACACTTACGTTGCTTTCTGCATAGCTTTCATAGCAGAAGCTCCACTCCTCAATGCATCAACAGTTTCAGTTGTTGCTTTCGCACCCTCTAACATAATCATCTGTATTAAAAAGAGAGATGAGATTATCACATGAGGTCCTGAGATTTTAGGGACTATCAAAAAAATTTACAAATTAGGGAGTCTTTTTCTATGTAAATTATTTTAAAAAATTTGGGAGCCATATGCTAATGTTTCACTTGGCTAAACCAAGTACTGCCCATGGGGATCATGATTAGCAAACTTAGAAGGACAATAATAAGAAAGAAAAAAATAAAAAATAAAACTAACTTGATCATGTATACGGAGCTGAAAATTGCCAAGCTGTTCGACTTGTTGCTCATATAATCTCTTCCTTTTCAAACACTGTATAGCCGCTGTTACAATAAAAATAAAGCACAACAAGCTTTAGATTATATATTTATAAGACACATGAAAGTCATAACAGTCACAAAGAAAAAAAAAAACAATTAAAGGGTGTTACCGCGTTTGTTCTTAGCACGAGTGTATTCTTTAGCCTTCTCAACTTCTTGACCAGCCTTCTTCAATAATACCTTCTCCTTCTTCTCTAGCATCTCAAGTGTCTGCCGGGAAAACGAACCAACGTTACAATAAGTGTATACAGTTAAAAAAAAATCAAAGGAACATAAACAAAACTTAGATCAATTGTATTCCAAGAGAGACAACTATAAGTCTCTAATACATACAAGAATAAATTAATTTGATAACGAGAATCTGAATAAAACAGTAGAGAGATCAGTTAAACAGAACATAGATGATACCTCGTTAAGTTTGTCTAATGTCTGGAGAGCATTAGTTTCCGTCTTAGGTTTCCCGAATAACCGATTCATCATGGTTACTTGAGGATCTTGCTTTAATTCACCGGTTATGAAGAAAAACACACTTCGATCTCTTCTTCACTAATCGAATAGATCGTAAATCACTATAAATTAGTAAATTAAATTAAGAATTTAACCCTAATTGTGAAAAAGATCGATCGAAATAGGATTAGAGCACGAGGAAGGATTGGATTAGGCAAGAATCAAATACCTGGGATGGAAGAAGATCTTAGGACTTGCTGGTTTGGTTTGGTTTTGTTCTTCTCGTCTGTGTTTTTGTGTTCACAGAAGATTAAGATCGAAGGAAGGAAGGGAGGAAGCAACTTTCCTTTTTGTTTTACACGCGTTGATGCTAAAATCGTGATTACACGTGTATGCTTTTAGTTGGTTATCTTATTATCTGTCTCTTGCACCATCGTAGTAGGCAATAATTACTCATGGGTTGGTAACCGAATTTTAATCATATTTGCAACCAAACCATTATTTGTTTACAAGTTTACAAAAAAAAAATTAATATAAATAATATGATTAAAACTATATTTTATTTGATAGTTTTATCAAATTAAACAGCCAAAAATGTAGTTTTTTCAATCCAAAACTAATTTTTTCTTCAAAAAACAAGTTAAATTTAGTGACAATTTTTCTTCAAATTTGGTTAATGTATCTAAACCAAACCATTAAATCAATTATGTTTTTATAGATGGAATTAAGATCTGCTTCTTTAGCACAATGTAATACAATACGTTTGCAATGTAAATAATCAACCACACACAAGAAAAAGTTACAACCCAAAAGACTTTAATATAGTCGGTCAATATTAGAAAACGATATTAGTATCAATTAATATCCCATGATCGCTGAAAAACAATATTCAGTTGTTATCACCATAACGAATACTAAAAAAGAGAGTAATTATCACCAATGAGCCCCACGTCTTTCGATATTCCCGACCACAGCCTCTCGGACACCAGAACACGACGGTCTCTGCACCCTAACACCGCCAATACTCCTCCTCCACCCACTTCCCGCCGCATTAATCTCCGGCCTCTGTCTCGGCGCGCTATGCGACCTCAGTTTCCCCCTGCAAGACGTCACATTCGCTGCCACAAAGTTCGAATGAAACTCTTCCGACAAGAAACACAACTGATGGTGACCATCCACCTCCACCTCAGCTTCACCAGAGCAACACACGCTCCTCCCTGGAGACCCTCCGGCGAAACGAGGGGTGCTCTGCGCCGTCGGGAACTTACTGCTGCATTCTTCCCATTCCGGTTTAGGCATTGATAGACGAGGTGGGACACGACCAGAGAGCGGTGATGAGAGCGTGCGTCTAAACGGGTTGTCTAAAAAATCGGACCCTGATAAAACGGGTACTCGGATTCTATAGTGTCCGGGTCGGATCCCTGTGTCTACCTCTACTATTTTAGCTGTCTCTTCGCCGTTGCTTCGGTTGTCCAAAGATCCACAGAATCTTTCCTGTAAAATGTTCCAAGATTTTCTTACAAACTAGCTAAAAAGTTTTCTTACTTTTACAGGTTCTGCAGTTTTCATCATTTCATAAATATAATAAAATAAAATAAAAAGTGTTAATCTGTTACACTTTTAAAATTTTGAAAAAGCTTACATAAAGGTTACTAAATTATTTCTGTGACAACTAAAAAGTTATCTAAGCAATGTAGTTAAGAAATTTACATGGCCATTTGACTCATTTTATGAAAAGTTTTACTAATCAGTTTTTTTAAGCCTACTTCATCTTGATTTATCAAATTATTCAAGTCTGAAAACGGATACTTAACCGACTCCATAGTAGAGTTTGATATAAAAAAATTACATGGTCATACAAAAAGTCTTACTAAACAGTTTTTTTTTTAAAACTACTTTATCTTGATTTATCAAATTATTCAAGTCTATAACTTAACCGACTCCATAGTAGAGTTTGATATAAAAAAATTACATGGTCATTTAAAAAGTCTTACTAAACAGTTTTTTTTTAAAAACTACTTTATCTTGATGTATAAAATTATTCAACTCTAAACCGGAGACTTAAACCGATTTCAAAGCTGAGATTGATATGCATAAAACATAAAAGTAAGTATGTACCGTGGACTTTCTCGCCGGAGCAGAGTTTCCGATACGGCGAAGAGCTCTCTGAAACTTAACAGTAGCCTGAGCTCTAACAAGAGCCTCCATACTCCTGAGAGTAGCCGCCGCTTGCTTCCTTACTAAAAAGCCTCTCACTAAAGCTTGTATCTTCACTACTCCTTTCAACGCTCTCAACGCTTTTCTCGCCTTCAAACATAAAAACAATAAAATGTAACGTCTCAAATTTTATAACAATAATATAATATTATTAAGAAACGTTTAGGAATATAAAAAAAAAATGATAGTACCAAGTAGCCTCTAAAGGCACATTGGATCTGCATAGCGGCACGATTCTCACGTCTTTTTCCAACACCTAGCGGACCACTCTTTCCTTGACCCGTGAGCATAACAACCGCAGCCGCAGCATTAGCCGCCGCAACCGCTTTGTCAGCGACAGCAGCTGTGGCCGCAGCAACCGCGACTGCATGTGCTCTACGCTCTATCTCCTCCTCTCCCGCCGCGTAGAACGACCTTAGCCAAGCAGCTTCTCTCTCGGAGATGTTGGGAGGTATGGTCTCGTAGCTGTCGCATAGAGACACTCCAGCGAGTGAAGAGCGGTCAATGCGGTTAGAAATGGTGCCGGAGCCGCGGCCGGAACATGAGGAAGGTTTGATTCCAAATAAACCCTTGAACCATCTTGTGGCTCGACCCATTCTCTGTGGTCAATTCTGAGAGATTCTTTTTTCACAATGGTGCTACTTTGGTTTTACTTGGTAAATAGAGTTTTAAAGAAACAATTAAAAGTTTGTATATATAACAAAATTAGAGATACGACGAAGTATACGTACGATTGGGACAGGCGATAGGGTCCAGTCCATTAGTGTGTTTATACTGTAAAGTATTCGATGCTGCGTAACTTATGTGTTGTCCATTGTTTTCTACATATTATGCTATATGTATATGCCTTGGAAACCCAACTTATTTAACTTTGTATAAAGTTCTTCTGATAAAAGGGAAAAGTGGCTGTAAAAACAGTGTAAAGGATAACGTAACGCTCTTGGCCGCCTTCTAAAACTATAAGCAAATAATGATAACAATATATTCTTTATTTATTTTTGCTAATAAAATGATAAAATATATCCACAATAATATAACTCACAATGTTTCAGCGATATATTAACCCAAGTGAAATAATTATTGTAAGATAAATACATAATGACTTAAGAAAAATGTCGCTATACATCAACTAGAGTGTTGTCTGTTACAAAACATAGTTAGCATAGTCCAAAAGTCTAACTATGTCATATTTCATCGATATGCTATGGTTATCTATTTATTTGTTTAGAGAAGGTATAGTCCAACTGTCCAAATCATTGCATATAATTTCATGTGAAATTATGTTCCCCTTTTATTGGGAGAGAAATTATTGTAGTAAAAGAAAGAAACTACGTTTCAAATAAAACAGATGGTGCAGGCAGAGATTCCAACTTGATGGAGCCTCTAAGATGTCAATTCAGTTCACAGCATAGGTCATTTTCTCTACCCAAAACTCTGTAAAGTTGAAAACGAAACTTTTTGAGAGTTGAGACTTGACACCAACCCTTATAATAATTTTATTTACTTAACGAACAAAAGGAATATGTATCTTAAACTTCTTCATCCTTTTCCTATGCCCTTGTATACTCAAGATCATTCAATATATTTTATTAGGTTAGGACATTATAAGTTCAACTTACATCAATTAGTGATAAATATATCACCTCTAATCATTTATATGTTAGTTTAGTAATTAACAACTCTTCACAATTAGTTTAAACAAGTATGAGAATAATACACACGGAATAGCCTAATATCATGTGCTTTTAATACATGTTAAATTATGATTTATGCTAATTTAAAATTACTTGATAACAAGTAAATTAATTTTTAACTAACCAATTTTGTATGACTTTCAGTCATTGTTAACATATTTCTATGAAAAAGTTTCATAAGAAACAATTTACTGATTTAATAATTAATGTCCAGTAGATCAGTGAAATAGGAGACCAGTGTTCATATTTTTGTTATAAAATCATTTCACGTTGCTCGATGCCAAATGTGAATTTTAATGAACAATTCTCTTTATAATAAAAACATTCAACATATTCTACAAATCAACTTAAAATCTAAGATCACTGGCTCACTTTATTAAAACCTGGAAATGTCAGAGTATAGATAAGAATTTCCACCAATGATAATTAGCTAGAAATATACAACAAAAGAAAAACGCAATTTCAAAAGTTTACTCGTAGAAGATGAAAAAGCAGACGAAGAAAAGAATCTAGAGCTGAGGTCACGTATCTCTTATCTATTTACGGAACTAAAAAGTCTTCTACAAGTTTGAATTTGACAATCTCCACCCCTTGCGGTCCTTCTTCAATTCGTTGTACACTTGGTCGTCGGCTTTGCACGTGAACTTTTGTATATCCTCATGGATCATCCTTTTTGCTGATGTTTGGGTCATAATAGAAAACAGCATGCGAGAGAATTGGAATGGGCTGTATGCAAAAACTATGCTCTATTGCCCAGTTTGGTTTCACACTAGGGTTGTCTAAATCCTTTAAAAGTTTTTTTTGCTCCATGATTAGTGTTCATTCATGTAAATGGTTGGTTGATGTTTTGTTATTGCTGATTAGTATGCGTTCGTTTAAATTCACATTTTGGCATTGTACAATGTTCATTTTTTATCTTACATGACGAGTAACGTTAAAACTTTTTGGGCTACATGAGTCCTTGTAATGGGCTGATTCCTTCTCCAATAAACTCAAAGCCCATTTCTACATGTACTAATGTCTTAATATGGTTAGGCTATGATGAACTCATTTCAGAACCACATTGAACACGAAACTTATTTGGAATTCGATTAGACTTTTAGAGTCTAGGCCTCTAGACATCAGTAAAGACACACTTCACTAGAAAATAGAGTATTCGTCAATGCTCGTTTCGATGTTGTTACTAGAGGTTCCACGTCTTATTGTTCCTTTTGCTAGCCTATCATTAGCAACAAATCTTTACGAATTGGTTTGGTTTCTTATTCAAATGTAACGAAGAAATTTCTATAAGAGCGATCGGTTTCCCTTGAAATAGTGAAAGTTTTGGTTTTATCTCGGCCTGGATGCTGTGTAAAACTAACGAGTTGGTTAATGAAATTCCTTCAAATAGAACCGTCTATATACGTGATGTGTATGTGCAAAAGAAACAAAATTAAAGGTCGAGATGCAATCTAGCTCCTTACAAAATAGTACAAAGAACAACATTAGCATATACACATTCATTTATATGTATAATAATCAGTCATCTGTTTCCCCCCTTTATGGTCAAATCGCGCTTGGTAATATACTGAGAGCCAAATTAGTGGGTCTACATATTTCAGAATCAAGACATGTGAATCGAGGAAAGAAAGAACAAGAAGACTCAGAAAAAGAGCCCTAAAAAGAGCAAGAAAAGGGTAACATGTGGAGAAAAGAGTGTCCCACAGGCAAGTCATGTGTTCATAAATCTTAGCTATGACATCCACTTGAAATGGATTGATATTTTTATCATATATACATGCAACTAGCTATATATAAGTATTATCTATAGAACATATATTTTGTCAGTAAGTTATCAAAAATAACATATTGAGTGTGACTGGCAAGAGTAACGTAAGCTGGAGTAATTTAAAATAAAGAATTTGAGAGGGAAAGTTAAAAGAGTATAAGAATAGTAAAAGTTAAAATGAGCGTTACTCTTTTACTTCACCAAAACCATGAGGAAGTAACACACAAATGATTTCACGTTTAATAAACAGTAATGAGAGTAAAAAGAATTAAAATGATTAAAAGCTTTTTCACTTGACTGGTAAACTTGAGCTGAACTGAGAGTAATGTTATTTGTGGCTGGAAATTTCTCGTTATATATGACTTACAATCACATCCATTATTTGTGGTAGATGCAAGTTCTAAATGGATTCTCGCGGTAATTAATATGGTACTGAATTTGAATTATGATTAGAGTTTAACTAGTTTGGCTTAAATAGATTGGTTTACATTTTATACTTTATAGATCATTTTGCAGATAATAGACTTTTAATTTCATATAATGGACAATATAGTTATGTATGTATACATATGCATGAAATTTAATACAAGTCAATCTCTATCACACTTACTAGTGTTTCATAGATAATTAGTACATTATCACGTTTATGTTTCATAGAGTTTTACATTTCTCCTTTTACAAAACCAAAATGTGTGAAAGTATTTGAATCTTGATTAAACTAGTCTCAAGATTTTGTCTAGCATCATGTATGCATAGAGTACGATCACCACTAGTAACTTAGGTCTCTTTAAAATTTGTGGATGGGCTTATCTTAAATTGGGTTTATGTCACCTCTTGATCATTTATTTTGAGGGTTATAAGACAATAGATGGGTATGAGATTGTGAAAGTGTTGGCTATAAGGTGGACAAATAAATTATGGCATTGACCAAAACATGCTTGTGTAGGCTACCATGTATGTGCATGTGTTTTGGTCGCTCATGGCATGGTGGTTTAGTTAATGTTCGTTACATTTTTTATAAATGATTTATTTTGCTATTATGTTTTATGTTTGGGGTCTTGTTATCACATGTTTGTCCACTATTGGATATAAATTGGGATGGATTGTTACCATAAATGGAATCCCATGTGACATGAAAAGATAGCTTGTGATTATGGGCATGCATATTTAGATACACTCGTATATATATATCCTATAGTTCGAACTAGATATTTATATACAAATCTATTGAGGTTGAGCTGATCCACTGAGAAGGATAAGCTATAAAATAACTTTGACTTATAGATGCATTAATATACATATCCCAGTTGCAATATTTCTATACACACAGTATAGATCCAAACAGCATCCACCAAGCTTCTAAGATGGACCTGTCTCCGATCAATTATTCGATAGTTTTGATAGTATTAATTTACATTATCATTAATTAGTGCACTGAGGTTTTTGCATGATTCTTTGAGAATGTGGACTACTACCACAGCATTATAAGCATTCAAAATGTCAAATATTAAATATGATTAAAAACAAGCAAACACAAAATCAGTGATGTGATAAACTATTTCGCCCAGATATATACGATTTTTCAAATTAGAGAACATTAATTGACAAAAATGTTAATTATTTTTAGCCCGCGAAAGTATAAATCTACCATTTTCTAGAAAAGATATACTAGTCCTTCTATATTTAAACTGATCATGATGTCGTTTCTATAGCTTTTTCTTTTTATTTTATGCTTTCAAGTTATAGTTAAGCATCATGTAGAAACGTTTTATTGTATTGCTAAAACAAGATATCATATATATCAAAATTTATTTAAACTGATATAGAATCGCTTCATTCTAAATACATACCCTACATAGTACGTTTCATAACAAATTTAATAACTAAACGTTTATAATAACGTGAAACTTGTGATTTGACTTAAAAACAAAGAAACAAATAGTTTGCATTTTTATCTCACAATATATCACGTAATACTTATAGATGATTTTTTTTTTTTTTTTTTACTTATAGATGATTAATATTAGCACACATGCCTTATACCAATCATATGTTGTTATTATCCGAATTTATTGACCTCTACAAGTTTGAACGTACTTCCTTGGGTTCAAAGTAGCTGACTAGTTATCGTGTTGAAATATATTACAACATATGTATGAAAAAATCGAAATTGGAAAGGTTCCAAATAGATAATTAGAATTTGATTTAAATTTGGTAATATAATCAATTAAATTCAATTGATGAGAAAGCACGTTATTGGTACATTCTTAATCGAGTACATTCGTCCAACTTCAAAATCCATCATCAAAATCAAGTTTAGATTGATCTAGCATGACTACAAAATCTATTAAAACATCAAGGTTTACGAAAATCTAGAAATGAGTTTATTTAAATAATAGTGTGAGGAAGATACAAGAAGAGATGTAGATGTCAGTAAATAAAGGGAGGCCCCCTCGTGTGCAATGCGAGCAGTACACTCCAATTATATAACTCGTGCTCTGTCTTAATTTGTGGGACATCTGCCACTGTTCTGCTTCTTCTTCAGCTTCTCTCTCTCTCTCTCTCTCTCTCTCTCTCTCTCTCTCTCTCTCTCTCTCTCTCTATCAACCACTTTTGTCCTCTTTCTCTCTCCCCACACACATATATGTTAGCTATTTTTGGGGCAGTGAAATTAATTTCTTCTTCTTTTGGCTCCAACCTTTTCTTTCTTACTTGATCTATATATTTTCACCATTTATTACCCTTTCTCATGTATCAGATTCCTTTTTCACCGAAATAGTATCTTTTTCATTCTAGGTGATTTAAAATAGATTCAGGAAGACCTAGGGAAATAGGTCTACACTTTCTATTTATAACACCTGGCTAGCTATATTAAGGTTTGAATAAAAAATCAATGCTTGTTAATGTTGGTACTTAATTCTTATCCGAAGTTGCGGAAATGCTTATGTCACAGACTCACAAATTTATTGTTTTACCTTTATCCTATCCCCTTGATAGTCAAATGTGATGATTTCAAGAATAATTATTACATTAGTTTACAAAATGTGATATATTACGATAAGACCTTTTTGCTGTAAAATTTATGGTCTTCGGGAATAAAGATTGATTCTCAGTTGGTTGGTTTGAATTTTGACTTCTATTTATCAAACTCCTGTAAATTTTATCTGCAGCTTGTTGAAATTTATTGAAAAAAAAACTTAAAGGCTTCTTTCACTGTTTTCAAAATCTGTCCTTTTTTCTCAAGATTTTTTTTTTATATTGTTTCAGATTATAATTCAGTACTTCAATAATTGGTACCCAATTTGTCACATAAAATTTTAGTAGTACGAAGTTACTCTGCAAGGAGGAAGTACCACCCGCTTTTATATAATATCAATGAATATCGAATTAACTTTTTTTTTGTAACACGAATATCGAATTAACTATTATGTTTTTTATGAACTAATATAATGTTATCGTGCATTATCAATGTATCTATGAACACTATGATGTACGACAGTAAGTATTATGGATCGCAGCTGGGCATTCAATTTTTATCTGACTTACAAATGTGGTACTTGCTATTTGTTAAATAATTAATTATTTCACGCACTAAAATATTTTCTAACACCACTAATCAAGATATCAATATATGATGGTTCTTTATAAAATAAAAAGAGATAAGGCAATGCTTAAAGACGACACATAATATCACATCAATTTTATCTCTGTAAATACAATCAACGATTGAAAGAAAAAAGAAGAAGAAGATTCTCAGTTTGGAATTGATGCTTGGTTAATACAGGGAGTAAGTTTCCTTTTTTTGTAATGACAAGTTTTATTTTTTCAGTGTAGAATTGAGTCTACACTTGGTGAATGTAACAATAGTGAAGTATAGTGTTATTAGGGAAAGAACATAAAAAGTCTTTGCTTAAGTTCAAATATAAAACTTTATACAGTATATAACATTTATAATATAATTTGAATATTAGAAAAAACTAGAAACCATAACCATCGAAATGCAGAATTTTGTGGATAAATATTTTTAAATTATGAATAGTAGGACGAAAAAGATATGATGAGATGATGCAATGGTCCTTGGGACTTGATATCTCTCATCTCTGAACAAAACGTTCATTCAGACCTGTCTGAATCTTCGAGACACAAGTCTTTGTTTCCCATAGGGTTGTCACTTTTCCAAATTACCATATTTCTCCCTTTCCTTTTATCACCCGTAACAAGTATTTTTTCCCCTTTTTATTAAGACCTTTTATTTTATTTTTATTTTACTATATTTATTTACAAATATTTCAAAATAAAATAAAATATTTTTGTTCTCTGTCGCTCCAGCTATATGGTCCCAACATTATTTTCCTCAAATTAAAGTTTTCAATTTTTTCATGAGATTATTTTTGCATCTATTTAGATAATTCACAAACTAAACATTAGCATATGTAGAAACTAAAAGCAGAAAACAAAAGTCACTATAGACGGCCAATCATAAGGGCATAATATAAGGAGAGAAACAAAAAAAAAATGTTAAAGTACAAAAAAGGAAGAAATGTTAATATTTTCAAGAAAGACAAAACTTTCTCTTTCTATTAAAAGAGAGGAGAAAAATAATTATAGCTATAACTTATAATTAACTTGAACTTATATTATAAAAATTTTGTATCAATAAAGCACCGTGATACGAAGCAACGGCTGCGTCTCATCGCTCTGACCGTCAGAATTAGCCACCACCACCGTCTTAATTAAATCGCTCACTACAGAGTCAGCGCATGTTAGCGACCGCGCCTTCTTAGCCTCCGCTTCCCAATCAGTGGTCCCCACAACATACATCATAAGACCAGCGCAGCTAATCTGCGCAGCAAGAAGTCCTAACCAAAGCCCATTAAACCCAAATCCGGCCCAAAACCCAAGACCCACAGCCACCGGCATGCCCACCAGATAAAACGCGCCAAGATTCACATTCGCCGCTGTAGACGGCCGTGCCGTCCCCCTCACGACTCCGCACCCCACCGTCTGAGGACAGTTCCCGATCTCACACAAACCCAATATCGGAAGCGCCGCCGCAGTTAACCGCAAAATCTCCTCATCTCCGGTGAAAACCATCCCCCAAGCATTTCTAACCGAGTAGGCAAACGCCGCGGCGGTGATCCCCGTCACCGCCGCGAAAACGATAGAAACGCTAGCCGAGAGCTTCGCCGTCCTGGGACGGTTCGCTCCCAGCTCGTTGCCAACACGAGTCGAGACGGCGAAGCTCAAAGAAGAAGGAAAAACATATAAAAACGACGTCGTCTGTATCAAAACCCCCATGGCGGCAACGGTCGACCTCGGGCTCACTAGCAGCCCGCAAAGAACGATCATGATCTCGTACCACCACCACTCCAAACACACGGAGACACAGCTAGGTCCAGCGAGACGGAGTAAAGGAGTCCATTCTCGTAAACAGTCCCGGGTCGGGTCGGTCCATGTAGGCACGTGGAGACCACTAGCCCACACGTAACATATCAAGAAAATAACCACGAAGAGGTTAGTAGCCGAGGAGGCCACCGCGACGCCTTTTAAACCTAGTTTAAGGTAAGAGACGAGGAAAATATTAGCGGGGATGTGGAAAACGGCGCCGGATAGGGACGCTAGTGTGACGGGGTGGATGATGCCTTGAGCGCGAAGGTAGATTCTTATTGGGTGAAGGAGAGTGTTGGTTACGAGGTCAGGGAGTGAGTAGATGAGATACGTTTGTGCTAGCTTCGCGATGTCCGGTTCTTGGTGTAGGTAAACCGAGATTTTACTAACGTTGAACCAGAGAACCGAGATCGGTACGCAGCAAACCAAGAGGAAAACCACGGTTCGATGGAGGGTTAGTGAGAGGAGTTTGTAGCGGTGAGCGCCAAAGGCTTGAGAGCAGAGTGGCTCCATACCGAGTGCTAAACCGGATAAAACAGAGTAACCGGTTATGTTGGCGAAGGCAATGGCGAGTGAACCGGCGGCTAATTCGAGGTCACCGAGACGGCCTAGGAAAAACATGGAGACGGCGGAGCGGAGGTAGAGGACTAGTGCCGTCACGGCGATCGGGAAAGCGAGTGTGAAGAGAGACTTGGCCTCGGTTAAGGCTTCGGACATGAGTGGAGATCTTTTGTTCTCGCAATGTCGGAGATGTTGGGAGGTTTTGGTCGGGAGGAGGTTGAATAAGTGTCCGGTTTGAGGTTGTTGGTTCTCGGACACGGTGGTGGTAGGTGGTGGTGTGTTACACATGACGGTGATGATGATGATAATGAAAGATGTTATGGGAAAGAGAAAGAGTTCTCTCTCTGGAGTTTTTAGAGGTTTTAAGTGAAAGAAAATGAAACTTTGATGCTTCTTCTCTCCTCTACATCTTCTCTATTAATAAAGGAGTTGCCAGAGTTTTTTTTTTTGTTTTTCTTCTTCTTCAGTTTCATTTTTTTTTTCATAGAAAAGAATCTAACCTACCTTTTTGTTAAAATATATTTTTTTAAATACTTTCGGAATTTTTGGGGATTAACATTGGTATTACTAAATTGACAATGTAGATACATGAATGAATGAATTGTGAGATTAGAAGCAAAGGAACAAAGAAAGAAATAAATGAATTACCGAAGTAATTATAGGTGGGCCATAATTAAAGATGATGTATCCGTATTAGCGATATATAGAACATACGTATCAAATCCGAAATTTAGAAAAGCTACTAGTTCAGATAAAGTATGCATTTGAATCAATTTTAGATAAAAGATGAAAATCTTATGATATTTAATGTATTATATTTCCAAAAAAGCGTATGAGAAATATGAGATATAAACATTGAATACAGTTTAATAGTTTAGCAATTACATATATGGACAAATCGTGTACTAAACTCCATGATATTTACATGTATAGTGATGTATTGATCCAAGCTAATCACATACGTTAGGTCTTCAATACTCGGATAGTTTAGAAACTTTAGGATTAATTTTTTTTTTGGCTTAATCAAGAAAATTACCATTGAGAACACAGATACTTTACATCTTTTATTTATAGGCAGTTAATCGTAACGTATAAATAAAACATTCATTTGGGTATATCGTGCAAGTTATTACACGTGAAATATCGAATCTTGTTCAAGTGACCATGTGGCACAGCTGCACAGAAAAATCGTTTGAGTTTATATTTGCCGATATTTTCTAAAAAAACTTCAAGATGTTCTTTTCTGTTCATAAAATTTCGTTTTAGACTAATTTCATATTGAAATCCTATGTAAGGTTTAAAATTCTTGAACGTATATAGTATTTGATAAAAAAAAAAATTTATTGTAAACATTTCAGACAAACCTAGGCTAAACATACAAACCTATAAAAATTCTGATTTCGTGGCTATTAAATTATTTTAGATAAATCAATCATTGAATTGTATAGAACTCGAATTATAGTTTAGATCACATGGAAAATCTTAAAAAATACTGAACCACCATGAAGTATTTTTAATATATATAAATAATGACAATTTTAAACATATTTTCTGTTTGTTTTTTTTTTTGTAAAAGATATCGAAACAAATAACATTTCTAGGGATTTAGTGAGAGCTTAGTTTATACTGATATTTTATCAAACTCAAACGAGGGATTTAGTTTATACTAACATTAATGTTCGTTTGACTGTCTTTAACCAAAGCTTGGAAATCATGGTTACATTTGATTAAATAGTTGTTTCATGTCTTGTCCCATTTGATGAACAAATTATGCTTAAACACTTAAATCCTGGATCTATACTTTGTAAGTAGTTTGCTAATTAAGAAACATATGTATTCACAATGGTGCTTAAATAACCAACAATAAAATAATTAATATATTAATTAACCTTTTATTTTGTAGATGTTTTATCAATGTATCTACAGATTTTGTAGCAAAGTTGACGCTTGCAAACTATTATTAATAAGATACAATTAGGGGTTGCTATTATACATAGTAATATGTGGTAGCTTACATGTGTAGAGTAAATGGTAACTATAAGCAATTAAGCATGAAAACAAGTTGTGCAGTTATGTATAGGTCATGTGAAATTATATGCACATCTAAAAATATTGTGTGGTCTTAGTTAGCCTTTCAAGTGAAAAAATGTAAAGCTCGTCTGTCATATCTAGAAACTTTCTATTGTTTTTTTCATCACATATTGTCTATATGGTGTCATGGTTAGTTCTGAATTAAGCCGGATAGAATAATTTTCAATTTCTTTAAAAAAAAATTACATAAATGAAGACCAATTTTTTTTATTAGATCTCTAAATTTTTCAAAGAAAATTTTTAGTTGAAATCTATAATATGTCGTCTATGGCTCCATGAATCTTAGGACCGGCCCTCTATATACATATTGGTTTGGATGTAGTCTATGGAATAATTTGTGGGTTCTAAATGTTTTCCGTCGATAAGATTTGAAGCGAAGAGATAAATCAGTGTAAGGCTCTTGTGGCTTTGTGAGCGTTCACAATTAGAGGGGGGCCTCGACCTATTAACTAAGCCTCTGGATTTTTGTAAAAATATTCTCCACTCTCAGTTTCATTTGTAACGTTCCAAAAATTGTTTCAAAATAATTAATTTTATTATGTATGTTATATATATCTATACTGTCTTTTAATATATAGGTATCTATCACTGAATATTAGAATGAACTTAATATTTTATGCATTGATTATATAAAACATATATGTTACCAAATATTCATGATGCAACTGCATAGGTATTGTATTAGAATGGCTGTACGTAAATTCAAATGTTCAATATCACTCTGAAGACTAAAGTTAAACCTGTCAACGCAAAATATAGTAGTATAGTATTAGAACGGCTGAGCGTTATAGGATTAAAAATAAATATGGTTACAAATCCGAATATTTGTGAAACTCAACAAATAAAAACAAAATTGGATTAATTTAGAAGTTTGGTTTCGATGATGGATGGGCCTATACGTAATCTGCCATTATTGGTCATGCATTATCGTGTATACAGATAACATTCCACCAATCTCTTGATCAAGAATTAATGTTGAAAGTGTGACTTATATATAGTACTACAAATTAAACCACATATATTATTTCCCCATTTTCCATATTCATTATGATGTAGACAATCTTAAAAATCAATTAATAATGCTGCATCTGCAACAACACTCAGATTCTTTATTACTTAACGGACCTGTTTATGAAATAAACGTTGTTTAACAACCAAATATGCTATTTAGTAGTTTCAGTATTTTTTCAAAAACTTAAGATACGTAATACTTGTTTTACTACCAACAAAACTTAGTTATTTTTTTATTACAAAACTTAGTTTTATTAAGTCAATGCTAGTGACTGCCAACAAAAGTTGCATTAGTGACTGTTACACCATATACATAAGTGTGTTTCAACGATACAATATATAACATATTTCCATTTAAAAATACATACATATATATATATATATATATATATATATATATATATATATATATATATATATATATATATATGTATACTCCTTTTTTTTGTCAAAATAACATTATATACTGGTTTATAAAGTCTTATATACTACATATATAAATGTTAGCAGATACTCTCTCCATTTTATTATAAATGTCATTTAGATATACTTTATACAGATTAAAAAAATATATACTAATATCTGTTCATTTAATCTATAATTATTTAAATAAAATATTTTTTAAAACATATTTATTGGTTAATTAAAAGGATAAGAAATATATAATATTTAAAAATTACATTAAAATATAAGTGACAATTTTTTGAAAAAAAAATGGTAGAATAATCTATTATATTAAAAGAGAAGTCACAACTTCTCTTCATGTGTGATATTTTTAAAAATGGACCATTCCTAGAAAGTAATATTTCATATATATCTTAATAACATTTTATTTGACTTAGTTACAATATCTTTTGATATCTTTCTTCTATTTGAAATAAAATAAATATTTTAAAAAGAATTCTAACAAAATCTTTTAGAATCTTTTATAAACATTAAACATATGAATAATAATATATACCAATAATGATGTAAATAAATAAATATATATATACATATTTATAAACGAAATTAAACACCCGCTCGGTTGAGCGGGTCAAAATCTAGTACTTATTTAAAATAGAGGGAATAACTGATATTCTAGACTGCTAGACTACTGGATGAAAGTAGAAGGCAGATGTAATCAATGAAAAATGGGAACTGGGATTAAATTATCGTCAAATTTATTTTGCATGGACATGAAAACGGTGACGTAGGGAGGGGGTGGTCATAAGAACAAACGCCAAAATGGACTTTCGATCGAGAAAGGGTTAAATTCACAGCTGGAATCTGGAAATTCGTATTTTCGTTCTCTTTAAAAGAAAATATATAAGAGAACGAAATACAGGAATTGACATACAATATACAAAAAGCGTTTTAACAAAAGGATATAAAATATACAAATTTTACTTATATGAAGGGATGTCCCAATTAATTAATTATAAAAGCAGTGGCTGAGAAATACAGAAGTAAAACTATTTTGGCTTCCCTTTCAAGAACAGAAGGCTAAAAGGGGACATGTGCCCTCTCTTTCATGCAATTTTATTTTACAGTTATCCTTTCAAAATATTTCTTCTAGATGTCTTGTCTTCTAGGTTTTCTTTCCAAATGATTTGTATATCTATTTTTCTTATGTCATGAGATAAGATCATAAGATAGACTGGCTTGGACTATAGACCGACTCATAATTCAAACACATATCTTCAATAGCAGTGTTCTCGGATTTCCGTACTGTACATTTTAAATTTTGATTTGTCGTATTATTTAATATACTTCACAAAACTCATAATTTATTTTTTCTTACTTTAGAAGAAATTCTGAAAAGTCTAGGTCTATGATTTGTTTTGACCGGAATCAGTATGTAATTTATACATCCCCCAAACAAGATTCGAACTAGGTGTGTACAACTTTTTCCTAAACATTGTTTACCTAAACTTGTCGAATACATTGAACCACACTAAACTACATACAATTCACGCATTTATTCATATCTGCGTATTCGGTTGTTTTTGGAGGCTAAAAGTAAATAAAATGACTAAAATATGTAATTTGATGTTTTGTACTAGTGTTGCTGTCATATTATATAACCTGAATTCAGTTCATGTGCTATATGTTAATGAGCTGTAAACAGAAAATTACCGTAAATTCTCAATTCTCAAATTAAATTGAACATTTAGACTAGTGACTATTGATTTATTCTCCAAGAAATGGAGAAATATTGACATTAAGAAAACATATAAATTAAACGAAGTTATTTTAATGAGAAAAAATT